CCCACTCTCTGTAGGATTCTTAAGTCTCTGTCTGCATCTACCATTTAATTAATTTAAGTGAATTTCTGAGGCCGGGTGTGGTGGAACAGTGGCATGCAATTGCAAATCCTCACTTGGGAGTTGGGAGCAGGAGGATCAGGAATTCAGGGTTATCCTTGGCTACAGAGAGAGTTCAAATCCAGTCTGGTATGCATGAGTTCTTTCCTCAGACCAAACCAAACAGGGTTTCTGAAGGAAGAACACACCAGGCTGTAGGTGCAGTTCAGGAGGCTCACTGGCAAAGAAGAATGTCTATGCCCTCCAGCCAAGGTAGTGTTTTAACCCAGTGGACAGACAACTGAAAAGTCCATTGTTGATAGGAAATGAAGTTCTGGTGCCGCTCTGGAGTCCAGTCATTGAGCAGACCACTCCTGACACAAGCAAGGCTTGATTACACTACTGTGGAGCATACATGTGCAATAAGCAGTGAACTTGTTTCCCTGGCGTACAGAAAAGTCACCTGAGCAGCTGGTAATCTCTGGGTGCTATTACAGTGCGTGTGATGAGTGCTGTTTCCCAGACCATCAGATTGGGCTGATCCTCTGAATATCCAACAGTGCTCTTCTTTCTGTGTAGACCTTCAGCAAAAGCAGGTACTTGGAAATCACAGGCTCACCTTCTCTATCTATTCAATAATTATTAATGAAGAGACCTCTGTAAGGGAGCACTTGGCTGTTACTGATAAATGTACCAATTACTAAAGAATCCGTCTCCAAGCCATCTGGTGATGTCTGCAGCATCACTCTAGAACTGTCTTGTGTCACTTTTTACTTCCCTCTGGGTGGAGCCTTTCAGACTCCCCAAGGCAGGTTAATCTTTCTCTCCGGGCAGTGACTTTGCCCTGTGGTTGGGCAAGCACTCTCTAGACTGAGAGAAGTAGCTACATACATCTGCTCTGTACCGTCATTTGGTGATCAGCCAATCAGCATTAGCTCCTTGTAATCTAAATCTCATGCACCTCTCCCAAATGCTATAGGGTTTTCTCTCACTGTTGCCAATGGATGTCATCCAGACAGTGGGCTCATATCTTTGGTTTTTGTGCAATCATTGTTGTATTGTAGTCCTAAGACTCATTATAGTGTATTTTTGATATTTTTGAAATGTGTTAAATTTTTTAATTCAATAATATGAGCCAGAGCATGTTGCAGCAAATCTATTGTTTGTAAAAAATAATAACAATAAATAAAATAAAATGGAGTATCTTTTCCATGCCTTTGCTTTATAAATATTTTATGAAGAACTATAATTATATGTAGAATGAGGTTCTTTACTAAAAGTATGTTTAGGACTTTTGTAGTCTTTCTTTAGGGGAAAAAGAAGGACAAAATGCAAAACCTATTTTATGACACTGTAAGCTGGGAGTTAAGACAATGAATAGAATGTTTTCTTTATTATTGAACTCTTCATACAGGTAGACAAGGAAATATAATCACATCTGTCCCCCATTTTCTCTCAACTTCCTCCAAGACACCCCTTTCAACTTCATTTTGTTTTATAACTTCCTACTAAGTCCAGTTAGTCCTTCCCATAAGAGCATGGGTGTGGGACCATGCACTGGAGCATGGAAGACCTACCAGTGGCTGTATTCTCCAAAAGAATGATTCTCTCTCCCCACATGGAAAATATCATATTTTTTCTATTAATCAGCTTTGTGTCACTGTAACAAAATGTCCGACACAGGCAATTTATGAAGAGAAAGAAGTTTGTTTAGCTCACAGTTTTGAGGTTACTTGGAGATTCTATTAGACTTATTTTCAGAGACATGCATGGAATAGTGGAGAAAAGGAAGGGACACGGCATAGCCAGGCAGACCTAATCAGCCCTAACAAGTGAGGGGCATCATGAAACCAAATTGACCTTATTTTCTAGCTCAGTTTCACAGGCTCAGGAGTATACTATCAGGTCAATTCTGGACTGCTCACATGATGGTAGATAGTGACAGGAACTGCCCAGGAATCCCATGGTAACCATCTGCCTCAAGCTCCCAGTGATCTAAGAACCTCCAGATAGGACCCACCTCCCCAAAACAACAGCCATCCTGTAGACCAAGACTTCAGTCACAGCAGACCCCTGGAGAACACACAGACCATACCCAACCCATTGCACCTTTTTACTGGAATAGCAACAAAGACGCATTCATTGAAGATTTTTCTTTATGTTTAAGGAAATGCCACCTAGGCATAGTGGCATATGTGACTCCAGCCCTAGGGAGGAAGAAACAGGAGGATCAGGAGTTCAAAGCCCGCCATGGCTACATAACGAGATTGGGGCCAGTCTGAGCTATGTGAGACACTCCACAAAAGCTCACTACAGACAACATAGTTCTTAATGAGGGTTATCATCTGAGGAAACTACAGCTCCTTAAGTAGTCACAGCTGATGCTAACACAGGACCCAAGGAGCTAATTGGCCCTGGTTGGCATCCCGGCCATTTAAGGCAGGACATTAGGACATTAGACTTGGTGAGTGTTGGCTTACAGGATGATTGCCATCCAGTTAAGCCTCTGAATTGGTGCTACCTCTGCCCTCATTGGGTGTCTTCTAGTCTGTGGACTTCAAGCAAGATCAACTACCTCTCAGTGTGTGTGCCAGGCAAGCACTGAACCTCCACTTGATACCTCTGACCCACTAGACACATTATATGGGCTAGGATGGCAAAAGCGATGTTTCCAAGTTTGTTGTCCACTTTGTGTGGTATTCTCTGGTGTCCCAAAGGCCACAAGAACTTGTCTGTTACAGTAACACCCTCTAGTGTGAGTCAGAGAGTTCAAACGTATGTATGTATGTATGTATATGTATATGTATATATATACACATGTGATGCATTTTTATTTTTAATTGTGTGTATGTATGTGTTGGCATGTCACATGTGAGTGCAGGTGTCTGTGGAGTCAGAAGGAGGGTATCAGGTCCTAAGAGCTTAAGTTACAGGAGGTTGTAAAGCCCATGATTGAGTTCTGGGAAAAGCAGCAAGTGCTATTAACTGCTATTTCTAGCTTGTGTCCAAGCCTTATCTCTGCTGCTTAAACATTTTGTGCCTAGGAAAGATAACCTGTGTTAGGCAGTTTTTGTTATTAAACAGAAATAACAGCATCATTCATCAGTGCCAAATGCAACCAGAATATTTAGGTAGTGCTTTTACCACTGTACAGTAATGTCACACAGTGAGTCACTCACTGGTAAGGAACATCAGGCCTTGTCCTTCTTGGACCTTGTCTCCACATTTGTGGCACTCAAATAACAAGTCTTAGCATGCCTGACAAACAGTGGATCCCATCAAATTTGCTAGAGCGTTTCCAACACTGAACTCTGGACTTAAAGCAGTGTGATTACTCACTGATGGCCTCCAATCAGAAGAGGAGCTGCTGCTCAAGAGCCAGCTGGGAAGGGCTGGGGTTATAGGTCAAAGTTTCCTTTATCTGGTGAAAGACCCAAGGTGAGCAGAAGAATACCCAGGAAATAATGAGAATAATGTGTTGGGATGCTAGTCACTTGTTCAGGTGTACAATTTGAATTTGGCAATTGTTCAGTCTTCTTTGCCACTCATCATATCTTAGTGTGGGACACTAGTCAGTACTCAGGCCAAGGGGGACATAGTGAAGCAGACATATCAACCAAACAGTAGAGATGTCTTGGTGGCTATTTTCTCCTGAGTTTTGCTTCATTATTACAAGATCCTTCATTTTCATTTTACATTTTAATGTTTGCCTGCCTGTATGTATGTGCGTGATCTGTGTGCCTGGTGCCTTCAGATGGCAAATTGGAGTGTTGGATCCCTGGATACAGATGGTTGTGAGCTGCCATGTGAGTTCTGGGAACTGAACCTGGGCCCTCTGCAAGAGCAGTAAAGTGTTCTTAGCTGCCTAACTATCTCTCCAGCCCTATTTTTCCATTTCTGCATGAGGTTTACTTTTGACAGGCCCCACAAGAATTACCTATATATGTGTGCTAGTGTGCAGATGCCATGGTGTGAGCAAGGAGATCGGAGAACAACCCGAGGGAGTCCATTCTCTTTCCACCATGAGGACCCCAGGGATCAGACTCAGGCCTTCAGGCTTTGCAGCTTGGCAGTAGATACCTTTACCTGCTGGACCATGTCTCCAACCATCGAAGACTTGTGTTTAAAAATAAAAATCAAGTCAACTCCAATGGATACCTACCCCCCTACACACACAGACACACACCTACTTGAAACAGCTAGTGGAAAACATTTTCCATTGGTCTATGAGGCTGGAATCCTACAGAGGAATCAAGCTAAAAGCATATCCCTTCCTGTGTAAGTAGCCCAACCCCTCTTCCATCTCTGGAGAACAGCCCTGGTACCCTCTAACAGATTAGCTCTCTCAAGGAGAGAGAAGCAGTTACTCATTGGAGCCTGACCCCACAACTGCCAGGTACAACAGTGCGCTGTTACCCATTTTTAGAAAAGGTTTTTAATTTTATGACTGTTTGCCTGCGTGTGTGTATGTGTACCAATGCATGCAGTGCTCTTGGAGTCCAGAAGAGGAACTGGAGTTCTAGACTGTTGTGAGGCACGTGGGTGCTGGAAAGGGAACCTGGGTCCTCTGTAAGAGCAGCCAGTACTTTTAACCACTGAGCCATCTCTCTAGCCCTGAAGATTGCCTTTTCATGTTTTCTGCTATAGCTCTGTTTACAGTGGAGGGAGGATCTGCACATGCTACCCTCTGGTGTGTTCTCAGCTCTCAAAATTTCTTTGGCTAGTCTCCTACTTAACACTATGGCCTCACTACATGGCCAGAGCCCTACCACCAGGGCATACCCAGGCTTGCCAGATGGCTCTTTTCAACAAATATGATCTTCCTCGAACCCCAATCTTTCATGGGGTTGGCCAACAGACCTTCACAACATAAGGATGCTGTCTGGTGCCTGGGGGAGCTTGGGAAGTCATGGTTGTCTACCTGTGTGCTTGAAGGGGAGGAACAAAGGAGAGTTCAGATTTCCTTAGAGTGTCCCAGACCACACATATTCTGGGACATCACTATAATTTTGGTGCTGATTCTGACTGTCTTTGTAGTGCTTCTGTTCTCGGTAGCCCCGCAGGGCTAGTACCACGCTGGCAGTGTACATAATCACCAGAAGGCAAGCAAAGGTGGCCGCTGCCCCGTCGGTGCCTGCCAGCTGGCAGTTCATCCAGGTGAGACCCCTGCGGGCATAGAGCCTCTCTCTGGTTTTGCAAGTGTCAGTGGAATTGATGCGCAATGCAGTATGCAGGTAAATGCCAATGCCGACACAGTAGCCGACTGCAGCCAAGAGGCTGAAAGTGGCCTCCAGCAGCAGCCACCTCCCGGGCAGCTTCCTTAGACTCTTGGCTCCCTGGAGTAAAACTCCCATAGTAAGGACGCCCAGCCCTAGGGAAACAGCCACGCCACCATAGATCAGGGGCGACCGCAGGATCGTGTACTGCTGGTCCAGCTGCCGAACCTGCTCCAGCTCGGTGCCCTCAAAAGGTGAGTAGTAGTTATTCCCGAAGCCGCTGCCGCTGGCAAAGCTGGCACTGAATCCGGCCAGGACAAAGTAGGAGGCCACGATGCACATGAGAACCATGCCATTCAAAATCACCTCCACTATCTGCACCACACCTGGGGGAAGAGAGAGTCTGATTTAAGGCACTCACCAGATCAACTAGGGATCCCCTGATTCAGCAACCTTATCAGTATTCTTGGTTTTGTCTTAAAAAACAAGTCATTTAAAATCTGAGTGCTTGTGGTGGGACCTAGGACACATGCATGTTAGGCAAATGCTCTCCCAGTGGGCTGTACATCAGCCCAGTTGTTTCTAAAACATACTTAAAAAACAAAACAAAACCAACCAAACAAACAAAAAACATTGCCAGTTGGAGGAGTTGAGCAAGGGCTCAGTGCTCAGTGCTCAGAGCACTTGTGGTTTTTGCCTAGGACCTGGGTTGGGTTTCCAGCACCCACACAGCAGCTCACAACCTCTGTAACTGATCCCAAGGGATCCTGTGCCCTGTTCTGACCTCAGTGGGCAACAGGTATGCAAACATTGCACATGGAAAACCCTCATATATATAAAATACACATTCTTATAAAAAAATCAAATGTCAACCTGAAAAACTTGGAGACTTAAAAAATTAAAAAGAAATACTATTTTTTCATAGGGTCTTGTTTGTAGCCCAGGCTGGCCTTGAACTCGTTATCTACCTGCCTCAGCCTCCTAAGTATTAGGATTACAGGTGTGTAGTACTGCAACTGGTTTAGGGTAGTTTAAAAATATATATATGTGTACCATGTGACTCTGCAATTAACCCTAAAGAAATAAAGTTGCTTGGTAGTTTGAGGAGGGGAGCCTTTAGTGGAGGCTAGCCTGGACTACACAATGAGAGCCAGCCTCAAAGTTTAAAAAAGGAAGAAAAACACAAAAACATGTTTGTGAATCTTCATAGTAGCAGCTTTATTTGTAACAACCGAATGCTGAGAGAACTTACCCTTGAGCAGAGAATGGTTCAGATACTCGACCCCCACTCATCCCCAGGGAATGCCCTATCCAGCAATAAACAGGAGTGGACCTGCAACAGCCTGGGTGAGTTTCAAGGTAATTATGAGTGTGTGTGTGTGGAGGGGGGAGTTCTGGTCTCAAAGGCTACATGGTCTGTGGAACACTCTCAGTGGGACAGAATCCCAGCCGTGAGGCACACGGGTGGTTCCTGGGACAGAGATAAGTGGGAGAGAGAGGAGGAAAGGGATGGGTGTGGCTGTGAGGGTACACATAGCACTAGAGATATGTGCTGGAATGGAGTGCTTCTGGGTTTCATTGTGGTGATCACACTAATACAGCAATAAAACCGCACGGATGAGTCTGTGTGCAACAGGTGAGAGCTACTCGAGCTCTGAAGATCACCACATTTTTGGGTCCCGCTATCCTCACTTACAGCATCACAACCGCAGAAAGCGCCTGAAGGGCACAAAAGGTCACTCTGTACTGCCGTGTGACTTCTTGTGAGATTTCAAATGAAAAGTTTGGAAGAAAAAGCTAATGTCATGTAGTATAAACTGAAAATTTTCATTCATGTTCTCCTCTCCCCCAGGAACAGTCTTGTTATGTAACCCAGATGTCCTCAAACTGTTACCCAGCCACCACGACTCCTAGCATTTTCATAACCTTCTAATACGCCCCTGCTTCTTTCTGTCTCTGTTTCTTTCTCTCTGTGTGTATATGCATGTGTCATGTATGTATGTGTGCAGGTATGCATGTTTGTGGGGGGAGGTCGTGCATATACACATGCCTCAGGTATTTCCCACCTTTTCTTGGAAACAGGTCTTGTCACTGACCTGGAACTCCACCAAAAAGGCTTGAATAGCTAGCTACCATTGAGTTCCAGGGTACACCCTCTCTGCCTTCCATCTCACCAGCACAGGGACCACAGGCGTTCCCCACTGAGCCTGGCTTTTGACACACATTCTGGGGATCTGAACTGAGGTCATTATGCTTGTGAGGCAAGCACTTTGCCCACGGTGCCATCTCCTCAGTTCACTTTCCAGCTTTTCTTTATGCAAATGAAAACATGAAAATCTGTGCTGCACCTTCCTCCTCCCCTGTCCCCCCAACATAAATGCAGCACATGCAGCATCAAGCATCCTGCTGGTTTCTTTACCCCATGCCAGTGGCATCTCCAGATCAGTCTGCCCAGTGGCCACATCATTCGTTACATGACTTCCGGCGTGCTTGTATGGACGGACCAGTTTGCTCAACCAGGTTTCTACAGAGAGACACTTGGGCTGCACATATGTAGGAGTTTCTTAGAAGTCTGGCAGATCTGCAGATTCCACAAGGCAGTGAGACTGTGGGCTAAGACTGAACACCTCTTGTCTATTGTCTGTCCCTGTCATTGGCTCCCTGAAGAAGCTTCAGGCTGCACTTCTAGCTTCTAGAAGTCTGATTATCATCCTCTCGGGGTGCAGAGGCAAGAATGCAAATGAACCCTGAATTCGAATACTCTTTACTGGTCAATGACCCTGCCCAGCTCACTGAAGCCCTTCTAAGCCTTAGACATTTTATCTGATGAATGAAGATAAGGCTTCCAGACCCACCCACCTCCCTCTCCCACAGGCCTGTGGGAAGGGTCGAGTGTAAGGGGGGAACAATCAGCTCCCCCAGTTGCAGCTTCTGCACCGGAAGAGTCCACTAAAGATTGAAAAGCGTCTAACCATGGAGCAAAGCAGGCTTTTTCTTAGCGGTGTTCGCTAAACAATACATTTTAGCAACTGTTTACATAGCATTTATATTGTTAAGAATAAGCAATCCAGGGATAGCAGGGGGCTATAGATAATGTTATACATCAATACCATGACATTTTTATACAGGAGACCAGAGCACTCTCAGATTTAAATATTGGAGGGGACTCTGAGCCAATCCCTGTGGATGCTAATACATGACTAAAATTCCTTGGAAATCATAAATGGATAGTAAGGCATCTCTGTAATGTTCTAAAATGGGAGGAGAGCAGTATGAAATGTGAGAAGAAATGGGGAGAATTTTGAAAAAGTGCTGTTTCCCAGAGACTAAGAAAACTATCCATTACACTAATAGGCACCATGTTTATCATAGAGGCAGTTAAGGGGCAGCTGCTGTTTCTACAGTCTTCAGGCACAGCTGGCTGAGCCTCTCTTCTGTAGGCCCACATGAATTCCTTTAAAGCCAGGGGACACAGCAGCGTGGGGATCTGAGAGTTGAGAAACTGTATTGCTCTTATTTAAAATTCAACATCAGATTCAAACTGCCCACTCTTCAACCAGGCTCTGTAAGTACAGCAAACGATGAACCAGCCCAGATGTCACCGGTGGGGGGCAGCTGTCTCCCACACTCCACATCTTTCCCTACCCTGATTCTCCTTCCATCAGCATGTAGAAACAGAAACACTGTACTGATACAAGAGATGGGAAACATGACCCCTTTCCTTGTGGTACACACAGCACACATCTCTTGGCTGAAGTGGAAGAAATCTAGGCTTCCATGTCTTCTGCTAGGTGCAGTGATAGCAAGGTTTATTGAAGGAATACAACTACAGGGACGATCCCAGACACAGACTAGCCAGACCTGCCTTAGCCAAAGTACTCCTTGCACAGTCATAAGTATCTTTAAGCATGCTGCTAAGGCAGATATATTAGAGAAAAAGAAAACAGGGCAGGCATTGCAATCTGTCTCGAGTTGGGATGGGTCAGGTCTGTGAAGAGATGGCAGAGGTGGAAGCAGAGACCCTGAAGTCCCCTGGATCTTTGCTATAAACAGCAGCTTGCTGAACAAGGCTGTCTCTGTAACTGACCATGTAACACTCTACTTAATTCTGTATCTGCTTCTGCCTTTGTGCTGTACGTAATTGTTTTAGGGGGAAAGAATCCAAGGCAAGCAAGTCAGTTTGATCTTTTTATTTTGCAAAAATAAATGAATATGTGCAGTAAAGATATCTATAGAACGAAAAATAAAAATCTCCCTTTTTCTTTGAGCAACATCTCTCACAGTGTTCAACAGAGGATTTCTAACCATGTACAGCAGAGGTATGCAATCGATTCTGTCCCTAAACCCAAAGTCTTCTAAATCAATCAATGGCATCTAAGTGAATAATATATTATGAACATAAAGAAAACTGCCGCTTCCAAATTAAAAATTTTCTTTGAAATGCTTAGATTCCTATCAAGCAAAGAACATATTCACTTATACCAGAATATTCTGCAATGGCCCCAGGCTGTAATTCACATAGTCGAGTCCATGAAGTTATCTGGCCAAAAGTAACATTCCTCTGTTGGGAAAAAGACTTCACATTCTTTTCTTTGGGTAGATCCTGAATACCAGCTACGGGGTTGGAGTCTTCATACAATGGCACATTTACAAGAGGTACAAATGCTTATTGAGCACTGGGGCCTGTAAGGGGCCTGTAGAATGATTTCTTTGAAGCTCAGTGAATTTAATCTGATTCTCTTTTCCTTACGCCACGCCCTCGCAACTTAAGTTTTTTTTTTTTTTTTTTCTGGGGAAGTGTCTCCCAGAATCCACAGAGTTGGAGTGCAGGCCAGGTGTGGAAGGCCAGGTGCATCTACCGAAGAGAGCTGAGTTTAGAACAGACAGTTCAGGCAGAGCTGTCTCAATCGGTGTAGCTTTTTGTGAACTCCAAGGATAAGTTTCTGCCCTGATCATGTCTGGCTTGGAGACAGGGTCTTGCTATATATCCCAGGCTAGCCTTGAACTCAAGATTCTCCTGCCTCTGCTTTACAAGTGCTAGAATTAGAAGATTACAGGCCTATACCACCATGCCAGGCTCTAGTGTTTTCAGTTTTGATATATTTTTGGTTAGTGCCACCACATCCATAGAAAATTCCAGAAGTCAGAGAAACACTGCTCCAGGCAACCAGGAGCTAAACCTAGCATACCTACACTAGCTTGGTATTTTGGAAGCATTAGTAAGTTCCACATCAAAGAATTCTTGTGAAAGATTATTGTTGAAAGTGACTTCTATCATGTATACTCGGCGGAACATTCCAGAAGTCTAAAACTCAATCATTTCTGTGGGCTTCTCCTTCAGCTTCTTGACTTTTCGGTAACCCCTAAAGGCCAGGACAGCTCCCATGGTGAAGACCACAATGCCCATGGCTGCAAAAACTCCTGCTCCTATGTCTCCCCCATGGACACCACAGTTGAAGCCACTGTACCCTTTGCTCTGGTACAGGGCCTCCCTCTCCTTACACACGTCTGAGCTATAGGCGGCAGAGAGGTGTTGGAAGAAGAAGTACAAGGCTGGGATGTATGCCCCAGCGATGAGCGCATCTATCAAGCCCTCGATCACCAGACACAGTGGACAGTGCCATGGGACCCGCAGGACACCCCCGAGGATGAGGAGACAGGAGAAGGTCATGAGGGCTCCGCTGTAGGCCATTGCTGCAGTAACTGTGGGCAGCTTGAGCTGATAGAACTGCACATCCAGCTGCTGGGCTTTCTCCCCATCAGCACCATTGAAGCCACTGTAAGCCCCTCCATACTGGTAGTAGTAAATCCCCCCCAGGCTGGTGATGCCCGTGTAGCCCCCTGTGGAATTGTAAGAGATAGAGCTGCAGGCCAAGATCAACAAGTTCAGCAGAACCTCCAACATCTGGCAGCAGGCTGTAAGAAAAGGGTGTTACTGCTCCAACATGCTGTTTTTGCACTAGGAGACTCTTCACCAGCCTTCCCAGGAAGCTCAGCCCATTGGTTCCTTCTTCTGCCCACAGTGGGCAGTGTAGGTTGCACAGTTAGTGTCAGGTGGCAGCAGGGATACTGAAAAGCACAAGGCTCAAAAAAGCCAAACAGGGCTGGGTGGCAGTGGCTCACACCTAAATCCCAGTACTCAAGAGGCAGAGTCAAGTGGATCCCTGAGTTCAATGCCAGCCTAGTCTACCAAGTGAGTTCCAGGACAGCCAGGACTGTTACACAGAGAAACCCTGTCTTGAAAAACAAAAACAAAAACTAGCAAACAAACAAAAAGCCAAGCAGAGATGGCTGTCAGTAAAATGCTTGCCTTGTAATCATGAGAACCCATGTTTGATCCCCAGCACCCATGTAAAAATACCAGGCATGGTGGCACATGACTGTAATTCCAGTACTTTGAAGGCAGAGACAGGAAGGAAGGTCAGGACTTCTTGGCCACCCTTAACTACACAGTAAATTTGAGACTAGCCTGGGCTACATGAGAGCTACCCCCTCTATAGATATACATTTCCCCCTATCTCAGTACATCTAAATTTTAATTTTAAATATCTTTTAATATCTCTGCAAACATGAATCTACTTTATAGATTTATCTTTAATTTTTATTGTTTACATGTGTGAGTATATGTTCATGTGTGTGCAGGTGCCCCAAAAGCCAGAAGATGTCGTATCTCCTGGAGCTTGGTTACAGACATTTGTGAACCACAGGATGTGGTTCACATCCAAACTCTGGGCCTCGTCATAGAGCAGCAAGTGCTGTTAACCCCTGAGCCATCTCTCAAGCCTTACCTCAGGACTTTTAAAGATGTATAGATTACTCTTAATGGGTTAAATTTTTTGAAGCAGTTTTACCATGTAGCACAGGCTAGCCTGCAACTCTTGATCCTTCTGCCTCAGCTTCTCAAGGGTTGGCATTACTGGAATGTGCCATCATTCCTGGCATCATAATGAATTTAACCACTTCAAGGGGATGAAGGGGCATGTAGGTTTCTCCGGTGCATTGCTATGTCAATTTTTTTTTTTTTTTTTTTTTTTGTGGTACTAGAGATGGGAACTCAAGGCCTCACATATATTTCACCTCCTGCTGGAGAGACTTTCTTAATGGAACACAGGAAGGGCTGGAGCCCTCACGGAGTTCCTCCCTCTTCTGTTAGGCTTAGTAGATCCATAAAAACATAAGCAGGGCTGTGCAGACAAAGTGGCTTGGGGCTCACAGGCCTTCATAGGCCTTCGCTGACACTGGAGCCCAAGAACTGCAGTTCAACCTCTGGCCCAGGTCAGGTCTCCAGACCCCCTTGTGAGTTAGCTCCATTCGAGTCAGCTGCACTTGGGAATCCTGACACAACTCAGTACAGACTGGTACTATATTAGGGCATTAATTATTAAAAAGGAGGGAATTAGGAAAAGACCACACAGTAGTTTCTTCCATGACCCTTTTCAGGGGATCACAAGCTAATGCCCTGGCTGCATGGTCCCTGATATAGCCCTCTTGGCTGGGATGGTATGATGGTTGATAGTGACTGTCAACTTGATTGAACTGAAAAGAACCTGGGAGGTTGGTAAATCTGTGGGGTTTCCAGAGAGTTAAAGCAGAAGACCCTCCCTTAATGTGGGCAGTACCAACCAACAGACTAGAGGCTCTGATGGAACACAGACAGGAAAGAGGTTCTTCTGAGGGAAGTCCATTCCTCCCTGGCCCCTCCTCCTGTCTCTGCTTTCTGGCTACCAGGAAGTGGACTGATTCCAAAGACTCTCTCCCTGTCTTGATGGGCTGAAACTTCTGAGACTGTGACCCTTGATCTCTGAAGTTGTTTTGCTTGGATATATTTTTTTTATTACAGCAACATTTCCTACTGTATGCATATATGTATGTATACAAAGCTATGTAACACAGATACATGCATCCTTCAACAGAATATAACTTCCTCTTAGGAAAGTGTCCCTTTGAAATGCAAACCCCAAATACTCTCAACAGCCATACTTGAAGGTTCTAAGCCAAATAGCAGCATTCCTGACAACAGAAGTGCCAACTCTAGGCCCTGGAGAGCTCCTCCATAGGTAATATGCTTGCTGCACATACATGAATGTGTAGTATCCAGTGCTAGGGAGGTGGAGATGAGTGATCCCAGGGGCTTGAGGGTCAGTCAACCTAACCTATTTGCATGTCTCAGGCCAATGAGAAACCCCATCTCAAAATACAAGGTGGACAGCACTTGAGAACTGATGTGGCATTGTCTTCAGGTCTGCATGCATACACAGAAGGGGGAAAAACAACAGTATTAATTGGGAGAAAAATGAAAAAAATTACTTTATTTTTTTGAGAAAGAGTCTTCTTCCATAGTGTAGGCTCCCAGAATCTTATGATTCTCCCACCTCAGCCTCTCAAGTGCTAGAATTTCAAGTGTGTCCTACCAAGCCCAGCTTGCCTGTTTTGTTTTGAGACAGTTTATGTCACCTTGATTGATGTAAATCGTGGATTCAACTGATCTTCTCATCTCAGCCTCCTAGGTTGCTGGGACTGCTACTGTGTGCCTTCGTGCCTCGCCAAAAAATCACTTTCAAGGATGCTTTGCAGCAGTGGCCAGAAGCTATCAGTAAGTACAAACCACTGTGACTTAAGGACTAAGCTTCTAAGGCCAGGGGAGGAGGAAGTGTTCCATATGCAAATAAGCTGAACTATCACTATACCTGTCCCTCCAGTCAACCAACAGAATCTACACCCACAAGAGGACTCGGGGGCGGGGTCAAGGGAAGCCTCCTGTATGTTCCTGCTCTCAGTCTGATCTTGATTTCCAGTCCCTAAAGATGTTTCTGAGATTTCTTTCTTGCAAAAGTGAAGTTGGCACTCATCTCTTTCTATTGGTCTGAGTGTTCCACTGAACTTTCTAGGGGTGAATCAGACCAGACTCCAGAGTATCCCCAGAGGGCCACAGGATGCCTTGTTTGCTGGGAGGGGTGGGGAGTGGAGTGACATGATTTCACTGACAAAGAAAAAGCCACAAAGGATCCACTCTCCTGTGGACTTAAACACCTTCAGGTAACCTGCATCCCTGCTCTAGCCAGTCCTGGTGCAGACAGCTGTCTCTCCACATGGTGCTCCCCCACCCCATGCACCTGTGTGGGAGCTTCAAACACCAGCATCTTCATAGCTCCTGTCTGTAGTTTCTGAGGATTGAACCATCTTCACGCTTTCCAACCTGGGACTTCCACACCCAACCAGTAGGCTCAAAGCCAAATATCCAGAAGCGATCAACCCTGGATTTCTAGGTGAGTTTTGGTCAGAAGCATAGGCCCTGCCCTTTCTTCTTGGTAAATGAATCACAGAAAGGGGGGAAGAAAAGAAAACTTGTCAGCCAGCCGAAAGCTTGTTCCTGTTATTTACAACACCAGAGAAGAACATTCTGCAATGAAAGGCTTTGAGGCCTTGGACTGGGGCTCCAAGTTTCAATTCCAGTACCTTCACTCAATTGGGCTGTGTGACCTGGGTAACTTGCTATGCCTCTCTGAACTTTGGGAATTGTTAAGAGGATTAAAGACATCGCTGGCAGTAGCATATATAAACCGGCTGATGAAGATCCTTGTAGCCAGATGGCTTAGAGGCCTTTCATCTAAGTTCTTCATAATCCTATAATCGCTACTCCTTCAATATCACCTACGGCACATCTCCATCTGTGGACTTGCCCCGTAGGCTGGGATGTTTCCACACTTAGTCACAGGCAGCCTCAGCAAACTAAGCACAGTCCCTGCACCATCAGGTTCACCCTGACAAACCAGATTTTCTTCCTTGCTGGTAAGGCCAGGATCTGGGAGGCCAGGCTGGTAGCTGATAACACTAGCAAGAGTTTTAAAGGCTCGTAATAAGTTGATTTTGTCTTGTTTAAATTGAGACAGTCTCCTATAGCTCAGGCTGGTCTATGAACTCCTGATCCTCCTCTACCCGCTGACCATATGCCACCATGCCAGGCTTTTATTTATTTCTTAACTTCATTTGTGTGTGTATATGTGTATGGAGGTCAGAGGACAAGCTGGGGGAGTTGGGTCACTCCTTTCCCCAAGTAGGTCCTAAGAATTGAACTGAGGTCATCAGGTTTGGCAGCAAGCACCTTCACCCCTGAACCATCATGCTGGTCCCTGGCTTTTGTTTTTAATGAAAGAGAAAATATTAATGCCCTTGGTATGCAGAAGGCTTAAGTAGTTTTATGACATTTTTGTTTTTCTGTATGTATGAATATGATTTTGTTTGTTTGTTATTTGAGACAGGGTCTTGCTATGTCACCCAAACTGGTCGAGAACTCAGAGCAATCCTGCCTTAGCTGGGATTACAGACATGTAAGTCACCATGCTAGGCTGTAAATCTGGTCTTAATGTAAAATCTATTCTTATTATACATCTCAGAGGATGAAGAGGGAAAGCCAGTGACTGATTGCTTGGCATCGGGTCTCTCAGGAGACCATCCATTCCTGTTCGGTTTGAGGAGCAAGTTGATTATCTGCTGGCATGATGTTTCCTCTGTGGAGCTTGCTGTGCCAGAGGCACCATGGTCTAACACAAGCCACTCCCAGCACACTGAATATACCAAGTTCTACCCAGGGGGATGACCCATGCTCAGATGGGTCACATTGGATAAGCTTCAGGAGCTCCATTGCATGGTTCAGACCTTCCTGCCTTCCTGTCTTTTTTTTTTTTTAAGCAAGAACCCCATGCATACATGGAAATGAACTCAAAGGGCTTTCAATTCAGCAACTCACACCCCTCCAACCCCTACTTTGCCTCTTCTCAAGCCATTTGGAATATAAATGGGGTCCCTCAAGGCTCACCTCTCCCCGAGCACAAGTATCTGCATTTGTGGCATTCCAGGATCCCCTCAGCTTCAGACTGGTAATATTCCTCTTCCTGTCGTGCAGGGTGGGAGTGTACAGACACATATCTTTCCGAAGCAAGCTCACTGGAACCAAGGAGCACACAGACATTAGGGACAGAACAGCAACTCAATGATTTGTTGAGACTTCATTTATTTTTGTTATTTTTTATTTTTTTAAATACATTCCTCAGTATGCAGCCTAGGCTTGCTTTAAACATGTAATCCTCTGCTTCCCAAGTGCTAGGTCACAGATTTGTACTACCTTGCCCACTGGCACTAGAACTCCCAATTCAATAATGAGCTTGGCCTTGAACCCCTAACTAATCCTCTTGCCTCCACCTTCCAAGTGCTGGGAGTATAGACATGTACCATCACAACCAGCCAGGCTACTTTTGAGATCTTTCTGTCACTTCTCCCTTGGCCACCCCTTGCACCTTCTGTCTTTCCATTTGTCTAATATATCCTGTGCTCTGCCCAAGGAGGCTGCATTCTGCTTGGTGGATTCAGGAGAATTTTCTAGGACACAGAAGTCATCTCATTTTTCTTTGGTGTGAAATCCTTAAAGCTTTCATCAATGCACAAGAGGCTCTTGCATTGTACACACTCACTGAGCCAGCAGCAGTGAGCAGCTCTCCATCTCTAAAGATGACCAAGGCCTCTGGGTCACCGAGGAAGCTGTTCTTCTGTTTGAAACACCTTTTCTCTTACTCTCCCATCTTTCTTCCACAGAACTCAACTCTAGGTCACCTTCTTTGGGATCCTGTCTCTGCTTAGACAGAAGCCCAGCTTTATTCTTTCCAAAACCTGTTTTTTTTTTTTTGTTGTTTGTTTGTTTGTTTTCTTTTCTTTTTTGTAGGAACTGATGACACACTGGGCTGTCGTTGGCTATTTTCATTGCCATCTGCCTGTCCCAGTCTGAACCCTGACAGTAAATTACTGCATCCCCTCCTTCCAATAAATACTCGAGAGGAGGACAGACAGATGTTGCCCTTTGGCTCAAATCTCTAGATACGAAATGAACAAGCGCTTTTCTTTCATTCACCTTGGGGTGAGATGGGGTAACCAGGCCTCTGGTTTATAAGGAAACCTGCAAATGTACTTCTTGTTTGTACTCCCCTGGTTGTAGTTCAAGATGGGTGCAATCAGGGAAAAGGTAGCTAGTGTCAAAGATTGAAAGAGCAGACTGAATCTGGGCGCAGCTTTTGTAATGCTAGTTGGTTTTAGATAGTGTAACATAAACTCATGATAGCAGCTCTCCCTGATCTGTGGACACAGCCGCCAAGGCTAACAGCAGAGGCCAGGTATCACAGTATAAAACCTGGTATCAGCTAGAAGGGTTGTCTCTAGGGAAAAGAATGTCCATAATTCTGACAACTGCTCAGAAGGCCTTGCAAGACAGACTGGAGCTGAAATGATAATGGGCAAGACCATGCCTTGATTGAGACTGTTTAAACTGTTTACACACACACACACACACACACACACACACACACACACGAAAAAGACAGTCTCACCCAAGGTTTCTTGATTTTGCCCATGGGGGAAACATCTAATTTACTCCATTTGCTCACTCTGCAGAGCCTGGCTCATAGTCTGCACATTGACTAACATCTGTGGGATTGGATGGCATGCTGACCAGGCCACCTGTGGTCCTCCTTTCTATTTCCATTAGCAAACTTTCCAGGACACAGGTAAGTTGAGGAATTCCGGGTCCTAACGTTGAAGTTAGTTCATTCAGGTTCAAACAAGCATAAGATTTGAATGAAGCTGCCTAGAAAGACATCGCCCACAAAGGAGTTACAAACCCATTCAGAACTTCAGGTGGCCTTAGTTTCTTGTTTAAAAGTGCAAAAGTCTGCTGTGCATATGGCCTTGGCAGGAGGATCAAGTCCAACTATTAACTCTTAGTTGGGCTAACTTTGTTCAGCCCCTCACGCCCCCTCCCCGACAACTGGAAACTGGGCTTTGAAAGGTATGGAGGGCTAACTTGAGAACAAGGCTGTAGTCTTAGCATAGTCATCTGGCCACTTGAGTGGAGCCTCTAGCTAGCCCCACCCACTTAGCCTTCTAAACCGTTCCGGTTTCGGTCCTGAAACTCTCTCTCTTCCCCTGGTTCCTGGACCTTCCCTTTCTCCTTGGGTAATCAAGTTCAAACAAAGGGTTGGGGCCGTCGTAGTGGTGGGGCCCCCGCCGCGGGCACCGGCTATAATAGACAAGGTCCGGGTCCCCAGCAGGTGCACCGCTCACCTGTCCAACCCGCGGCGCCCAAGGCCCTGCTTCGGCCGCGGCTCCGGGAACCCCCAGGGCGCGGGCCCGGGGGTCGGGGCTGTGTCCCAACTGGGTGCCCAGGGCTCTGGCCGCGCACGGCTTTGGC